CTCATGAACCCTTGATAATTTATAAATTATTATTATTTTGTCATATCTTACACTGCCTGATGTCTCCCTTCACCCACTTTTCTGTTGTCCATCCCCCAGAGAGGAGATTATATGTAGATACTTGTAATCAGCTGTTTTTCCTTCTTGGTTTGCTTCGGTGTGGGCATGGCAGGTCGGCCCCTCTCCTCAACTCTGTAGCACACTTCTAGGGAGGAGGTCAGTTTGGCTCTGATTGGGGGCGGCCCTGTAGCCCACTCTGTTTATAAATTGCTGCATGTGGGTTTCTCTGTCCTCAAGGTTTGGTATGCCATGGTGGGGTCTGTATGCACACTCCCAATTCTGTAGAGATAAATGTCCCAGAACAGAAAAAAGAAATAATAAATACTGAGCTACTAAGAAATTAGCACTTCCCTAACATCACAAAAGAACACAAAATATCTAAGCAGAAAATCCATAGCAGTCCAAACTGAATTGGCCCTTAAAGGATATCAGGCTGGACAAACAGTGAGGATGGCTGAGCCGGAAGCGGCCAGCTGCTGGGCTTAAGGCAGGAGCGGTCGCCTGAACTCTGACAGGTGGCGGGAGGAGTGCCAGTCAATGTGAGGGACACAATGTGCGCATTTCCAGGAGCGAAACGCCTGGGCCTGCGGGCCTGGAACATGCCGTGATGTGAGGTATCTCTGGGTGACCCACGCTGTCACTGCAGCCCCGGAGCTCTGAGCCCTCAGCCAGGAGGCGCGCCCGGCTGGCCCCAGGCCCCAGCCTCCGTAATGAGAGCCCTGAGCCCTTCTCTGTGCAGCAGCCTCGCAGGTGAGGGTGACTGTTGACTAGTGAAAAAAGGGACCCAAGGTTCACGACTGACTTTCTGGCAGTGGAACGACCTGTGAAAACCTGTGACCCATTCTCATTAATTAAGTCTCTGGATTATTATAGGAAATGGAAACTGATCTCAATTCCCAGGACAGGAAGGACCTGGACAAGTTCATTAAGTTTTTTGCCCTCAAGATTGTCCAAGTGATTGTCCAGGCTCGACTTGGTGAGAAGATTTGCACTCGTTCATCTTCATCTCCAACGGGTTCAGATTGGTTCAATTTAGCCATCAAGGACATCCCAGAGGTTACACATGAAGCAAAGAAGGCACTGGCAGGGCAGCTGCCTGCTGTGAGGAGGTCTATGTGTGTGGAGATTTCACTCAAGACTTCTGAGGGAGATTCCATGGAATTGGAGATTTGGTGTCTTGAAATGAATGAAAAGTGTGATAAGGAGATCAAAGTTTCCTACACGGTATACAACCGACTGTCTTTGCTGCTGAAGTCTCTCCTTGCTATAACAAGGGTAACACCAGCCTATAGACTCTCGAGAAAACAAGGGCATGGATATGTCATCCTGTACAGAATATATTTGGGGGAAGTTCAGCTGAATGGCTTAGGAGAAGGCTTCCAAACAGTTCGTGTTGGTACAGTGGGAACCCCTGTGGGCACCGTCACTCTTTCTTGTGCTTACAGAATTAACCTGGCATTCATGTCTACCAGGCAATTTGAGAGAACTCCACCTATCATGGGGATAATCATTGATCACTTTGTGGACTGTCCCTACTCAAGCGCCTCGCCCAAGCACCCCTGCAATTACAGGACCGCTGGGGAGGACGGCAGCGGGACATACCCCTCCGTGGAAGACTCTCAGGAAGTGTGCACCACCTCCTTTTCCACCTCCCTGCCAACCCAGCCCACGGTTCCCGGGAAGGAAGGTGGCAGGCTGCCCTTTGCTCCTTCCAACCAGCCCGCC